CCGACTGCTATCAATTTCAATAGATCACACTTATTATTTTTGAAAGTAAAGTATTACTTAATATTTATAGGAAGATATTTTGTAAATATTCATGTGATTAGTCGAGTTAAATACCTAAATACTTATGTTATAAAAAAAAGGAAGGAAAATCTCATATCCTGAATTATGGAGCTATTTTTTTATTTTTTATTTTTTATTTTGTTGTTCTTCTTCGATTTGGAGATATTGTTGTGTGTGTGTTTTTTTTTTTGATTTAAAAGCCATACGGAAGCTTTATTTAGAACTTCAAAACAGGAAGCAAATACATGATCAGATATGATGCGATAATAAATAAGAATTATTTGGAGATATTGTTGTGTTAAATTTTAGAGATAATAAATAAGAATTATTTGTGACCCATATATAATTTTCATTATTATGATATTTTCGAAATTAATACAGGCTGCTATTTGAAATTTTCAAATTTCTGATATCTTTTTAAAATTTGTCTTTGTAGTGTTGAAGTTGTGGGTTGACAAAGCTTCTGTCTTCTTCACTTTTCCTCTTTGTAGCGTTGAAATGACAAGATGTTATCAAAGAATGAATCTTGATGTTTTTTTTGGTAAAAGAAAAAAAATCCTGATTGAACATATGGAAATTTAAATATTCATATTTTATTTTTATTTAAAAAATAATTGGTACATACTCAATTTAATATATTTTTTTGACACCATTTGATTTAGTGATTAAATATATAATATAAATATAATTGAATCAATCAGTTTTTGCATTTTGAATACATAACTCTGTTTTTTAATTTATTTATTTTTAATTTTATACTAAAAATAATTTTTTTGAGAAAAAAATAATTTTTTAATAAATATTTATGCAGTGTATTGAATTGTGATATCTACTAATTAGTGTTCTTTTATTTATTTTGTCCAAACCAATGGGGTGTAGCTATGACCACGTACCATTCTGTTATAATGTCACACAAATATTGCTTAGTTTGACTAATATTTTATTAGTTCATAATTATTTTCTTAAATACTTAATTATATAGGGGTTAGTGTTTATCAATTTCATTTCGTAAAGATTAAAAAAATATATATCTTAAAACTATGTAGTTTTAATAAAACATTATAGAAAAAGATAAAAAACACTAATTTTGTTTTAAAAATATGATATTTTAATTTTTTTAAATGAAAGTTTATTGAAATGATGTAATTTTGAAATATTTTTCCTCTTAATATTTAAGAGGTAAGGTAAATAAATATTATTATTTAATTATAATATTTGAAAATAGTAATTTATAAATTGAATTCAATCTAATAAATAATAAATATTAGTTATTTTTTCAGTTATCCATCCTTTTTAATAATTAGGTTAAACAAAATTGTGTAGTCTTAAATGCCACATGGCCATGACCACACCCGAACCAATGTCGTTAATTAATTTAATTCCGGATCAGTATGTATATATATTGGTGGAATTGTCGAAATTTAAAATGTCTTGGCAATTTTTGTAGGAAAATGACTTGACAATTAAAATGTCAAAAATTATTATAAAAAAATTTAAATACCCTTTATGAATCAATACAAAAAAAATTTACTAAAAATATATAAATAATTTTATTTACAATTCTGACATTTTAATGTCAAGATATTTTAATTATCACTTTTTTCCTATATCAATTCGGTATGAATATCATTGATCCTAACAACCCGATAAAAGAATTTCTCAGGAAGAGAATATTGATTGAATATATGAAATTTCAAACTTCTACATATTTTTTTTTCCTTTTTCGTCAGGGAGAGGCCGAAAATGACTTTGACTATATTTTTCCAAGCATTTCTATCTGGTTTGACGGGGTAAGTTTTTGTGGTCCCTCTCCATTTACTGTCTTTTAAAATTTTTCGTGATTTTTATACAAATTGTATCTCGGCCAAACAGGCTCTAAAAGATCATACTCTTCATTTGCAGGGCATCATTGAGTCAAATTTTATATCTCGAGAGCTTAAAATTTATATCCGCAACATTTGTCTCTGCCATGTTCAATCTTGCTCCAGCCATGACTTTTGTCTTGGCCATCTGTTTTAGGTACGTAAATATCCACTTCTTTGTGCTATGTTTGATATACTTTGATTAATTATTCTTATTAATTATTGGCCGATTTTGATTTTTTGTAACAGAATGGAGAATCTAGGGCTTAAGACCATGCATGGAAAAGCAAAAGTGTTGGGAACATTAGTGGGAATTGGGGGTGCAATGGTGCTCGCATTCTATAAGGGAATACAAGTTAAGATCTTCTCAACACATGTTCACCTTCTACACCACCATCAAGATCAAGCCATCGGACACCATTCATCTTTACTTGGCCCAATATTGTCTATTGCTGCTTGCATCACCTATTCCCTTTGGTTGATCATCCAAGTAATTATCATTTTCTCCATATCCTCAAAACATGAAATCATGAAACTATATATAGCTTCACACCACTGAGAGCTTTAAACATGTTTGAGTATTGAGTGAGAAAATCTCCTATGAAGTATATAATAAAGAAGTATGTAAATTAAATATAAAGAATGTTAGCTGTGCAAAATATAAATATATATATATGTATAAAGAATGTTACTCTGTCTATTACTACTTATAATTGATTTTAGATTTAATGTAAGTATTGTGTTAAACCCAACATACCTAGGTTTTACATGATATCAGAGTCCAAGATCCATTTCTAAGAAATCAATTGTTAGCCCACTCGATAAGACTTGAACAGAACTTGAAGTTGATACTGGACCTATATGTAAGAGGACATATTAAGTCATACAACAAGATTCAACATTTATAGTGGGTTGCATGAGGGGATGTGTTGAGAATTACTTCACCTATTAACAATTAATTTTAGATTGAATGCAAATCTTATATTGAAACTTATATGTACAATTTTCACACTGAATATTTCTTTCACAGGCGAAAATGATTGAGACATACCCATGTCCTTATACAAGCACAGCATTGATGTCTGCAATAGGAGCAATCCAATCTACTGTTTACGTACTGTGCACAGAAAAGGATTGGAGCCAATGGAAGTTAGGATGGAGCATCAAACTTCTCACCGTAGCTTACACGGTATAGTATGATATTGTTATTATTAATCGGACTAACTAACTACCTAGCTATAAAAATTTGGGATCTTAATTAAATTAATTGAGAATTTTAGTAAACAGGGAATTATAGGATCTGGATTGCTTATGTTGATCTCATGGTGTACCCGCCAGAGAGGCCCTCTCTATGTTTCGACCTTTAGCCCATTAATGCTGATAATGGTAGCTATTGCAGGATCCTTGTTCCTGGAGGAGAAGCTTTACTTGGGAAGGTATATAGTTTTGAGATTACATGTGCTCACAAATATTTGGTCTTGTTTTCCACTTAATGTTGAACAAAAATTCATCTTCTTCTTTAAATTGTAGCATATTAGGAGCGGTGTTAATCGTGTTGGGATTATTTCTCGTTCTGTGGGGTAAAGGCAAGGAGATGAGGAAGTTGAAGAAGAAGACACTGTTGATGTCGGCTGTTAACCCTCTTGAAA